GTCATAGCGCAAAGATCAGGTCTTCGCGAGAGTGCACGAGTATATCTTGCGTCTAAAGCTTTCATAATATAATATCCGATTTCGAAACTGGGAAATTCCACTAACGCCCCTCGATTGACACCAGAGAAAGAGGTAGGCTAGCATCTGCTGCGCGATTGGAAAGGTCGGGGACATGTTTCGGTGTGAAGTCAAATTGGTCGATGAAGTACATCCATCGTTCGATCGTGCTGCTCACCGTGTCCTGCGTCTTATAGTAGGTCAATGGATTGTTGTCTGTGACCCATGTGAACCTACGACGCCCAAGGAGGAAGTGCCGCCAGCACTTGAGAGCCATCACGAATGGGAGCAGCTCCTTCTTCCTTGCATCATCAAGCGAGTTGATGGGAGGCACTTTGTGGCTGAAATACTCCACAGGGTGCCAGTCGTCGCCGTCGTGCTGTTCCAAGACTGTCCCAATGCCATAGSCGGAAGCGTCYGTASTCACTCKCGTCGRCARGGTGGGGTCATAGATGYTRAGGACGGGTGCCATGAGCATRGYCGTCTTAAGTGCTTGGAATGACCGKCGTGCGTCGTCATYGAATACGAATGGCACCTTTGGCGAYTGTAACCTCGTCATAGGTGCAGCAATCCTGGAGTATCCGGTGATGAATCGCTGATAGTAGCCCGCCAACCCCATGAATGAACGAACGTCCGTGGTGTTGGTGGGCTCGGGCCATACTCGTAGGGCCTCGATCTTGTCCGCAAGCGGACGGATGCCTTGCGGCGTCACATAGTGTCCCAAGTACTCCAACTCCTGTTGTGCGAACTTGCACTTGTCGCGGTTTGCTTTGTACTTGGATTGTCGTAGCCGCTCCAAAACGGTGCGCAGGTGTTCCACATGCTCGACCAAACTCCGACTATACACCAAGATGTTGTGGAGGTAGATGAGTACAAACCGATCCAGCATGTGTCGGAACTCCGTTGTCATAGCCGCTTGGAAAGTGGTTGGGGCATTCGTAAGGCCAAACGGCATGACCAGCCATTCGAAATGCCCATACCGTGTCTTGAACGCGGTCTTGTAGCGATCCTCCTTGCGAATCTCGAGTTGGTGGTACCCTGACTTGAGATCCAGCTTAGAGAAGAGYTGGGCRCCGCCCAATYGCTCGAGAAGGTCRTCGATGCGTGGGAGAGGGYCGGCGTTCCTGATCGTCTGCGCGTTGAGCTTGCGRTAATCGATGCACAACCGCAGGKCCTTGTTCTTCTTCCGGAYGAAGAGAACWRGAGCACCKTATGGCGATGAGSTAGGYCGAATCCAACCTTTCTCTAGAAGGTCGTCGAGTTGTGCGCGAAGCACACTTAACTCTTCCTCGCTCATTCGGTAGATGCAACCGCGCGGAGGTACGGCCCCATCCTCGAGGATGATCTCGTGGCGGATGGGTCGTTCCGGTACTACCCCGTGGGGGCCTTCGAACACGTCGCTGTAGGCGTCGAGAAGTTCGGTGATGCGTGGATCCGAAGGTGAGTCCGTCGATGAAGCGTCATGGGGCGGGAGGGCGTGGAGAAAACACACCCCCATCTCCTCGATGTCGTCTCTGATGATGGAAGCTCGCATGCTTGCGGCGGATACCACGTGGTAGCTGATCGAAGGATGAGGAAGTGGCACCGTGCATAGAACTAGTACTCCGTTCCGATCACGAATGTGAACGGTGCGGTGGAAGAAGTTCACCGGGTGATCCTCGCTTCGCAGCCATGACATGCCCAAGATCATGTCAAATTTGGTGTCCAGAATGTCAAAGGACACCGCCTCACTTGCGTGAGGGGCAAAGTACACTGGGACGTTGTCAATGCACCAGTCTCGTGTTGCAGTGTTGCCCTGTGACATGGTGAACAGACGGTTGATGGCAAGTGTCGGCGCGTCGTCGACGATGAACCGCTTCTTCCACAGCCGTGTCAGTTCCTCCCATGTGATTTTGTCCTTCAAGTCTAGTACGTCGACGCCGTGGGAGGTTGCCAGGTGGCTCAACCAGGTCTGGCATCCGCCCTTTGAGTTCAGGAACATGGCGCCGATGTACGCATGCTTGGCTACGGGCAGAATCCTGAGTTGCGTTGTGAATGCTTCCCACCAGAGGACCGGATCCTGCTGCGTGTAGTCGTCGAACCTCTCCAGGTTGAAAGTTGGCATCTTGTACATCTTCGGATTGTCGTCCGCGTTCGTCGACTGCAGCTGCTGGACCTCAGTCTTCAATGTATGCAGCTGACTGCTGATGGTGGTGGTCGGCGCAGCGAAAGTGCTGATGTTGTCGAGCATTGCCACTACGTGGTCAAYGCGGTCCTCCAGTTGGCGGCTAGAGGGTGCACTGCTGGAAGCCCCAGCAGCTGGTCCTGGTACAGCTTGTTCCAGGTCCAGCAATCGGGCATTGAGTGCCCGAGTTGCATCCTCGTGGCTCTGCACCACGCGGCGGAGCTTTGCCAACTCCTGGTGCGGTTGCGTCAGGTCCTGGTACTGTCTCTCCAACTCTGAACGCTGGTAGTTGCAAGCGAACAACAACCTTGTCACGAGTTT